CCAGTGTTGGAGCATTCACCGCTTCTGGAGGCAGGTGGTTCCATTGGTTAATTGTTCTCACTGTCAGGAAGTTTCTCCTTGGTTCCAGGTTGCTTCTCTCCTTGATTAGTTTTCATCCGTTGCTTCTTGTCCTGCCTTCAGGCGCTTTGGAGAATAGCTTGACTCCCTCTTCTTTGGGGCAGCCCCTGAGATACTGGAAGGCTGCTATCCTGTCCCCCCCTCGTCCTTCTCTTCCTTAAACTAGACATACCCAATTCCAGCAACCGTTCCTCGTATGTTTTAGCCTCCAGTCCCCTGATCATCTTTGTTGCTCTTCTCTGTACTCTTTCTAGAGTACAGAGAATTTTTTTTATTTGCATCTCAACTTTTATTTTTTTTACAAATAACACAAGGTGGCGGATATATCCAACACACGCGTCCATTTGCTGTTTTACCCAAAACAGCAACCCTGTGAGGTGGGTTGGGTTGAGGGAGAGAGACTGCCTTAAAGTCAGCCAGACAGTTTTAATGCCGAAGGAGGGACTAAGAAAATTTCCTACTCATTGGCTTAAAGTCTCCCAGCCGGTTTTTATGCCTAAGGGGGACTAGAACTCACAGACACCTGGTCTACTCTAAAGTCACCCAGCTGGTTTTCATGCCTAAGGTGGACTAGAACTCACCGTCTCCTGGCTGGCTGGGGAATTCTGGGAGATGAAGTCCACCCATCTTCAACTTGCCGAGTTCGCAGACCTCTGATCTAGATTTTGCCCGGGGTTTCCTCTCCCAAGTTTGCCATTTAGTTCTCAAACGTTTCGTTACCGGACTAGGTCGCCTCATCAGGGTGTCTAAACTCTTTTTGTATGGCAAAGAGCAGACCCAACATTCCTTTGTGTTATTTGTATCCTGGCTTTATTAGTTCCACAAATAAGGTGGCAAACGTAACCAATACCTCCCACCTCCTATTTTCCCTACCACGACGACTCTGTGAGGTGGGCTGGGCTAAGAGAGGGATTGGCCCAAAGTTAACCAGCTGGCTGGCTTTCATACCTAAGGGGGACTAGAACTCACAGTCACCTGGTGATTGGCCGAAAGTTATCCAGCCAGTTTTCATGCCTAAGGGGGATTAGAACTCACCATTTCCTGGTGATTGGCCGAAAGTCACCCAGCTGGTTTTCATGCCTAAGGCGGAACTAGAACTCACCGTCTCCTGGTGACTGGCCCAGAACCACCCAGTCAGCTTTCCTGTTTAAGGCGGGACTAGAACTCACCATTTCCCAACGTTGCCCAGCAGGTTTTCATGTTTAAGGTGGGACTAGAACTCACCATCTCCTGGTTTCTACCTTGGTGCTTTAACCACTAGACCAAACTGGATCTCCCAAATGGTTTTGTGTTAGAGGGCAGGGCAAGGGACACACACACAGACACACCCATCACCTTCTCTCTCTCTCTCTCTCACTCACTCTTGGCCAGATACACTTTGTGGATCAGGCCCGGCAGGACGTGTCCATTCTCGATGCTGAAGTTGTCGTGAGGCCCAAAGATGTTCGTCGGGATGGCGGCGGTGAAGTGGCATCCATGCTGTTCGAAGTAGGCCCTGGCGGAAGAAAAGGAAATTGGGAAGGGGAGGGCAGAACACCTGGGGTGCTGAATGGCACAGAATTAGGTGGTCCTTGACCTATGACCGTAATTGAACCTGGAATTATGGTCATACGTCTGGCCGGTCGTTAAGCGAGTCATCGCATGACCAATCTTATTTTGTGACTCTTTTTCTACGGCAGTTGTTAAGCGAGCTCAGCAGTTGTTAAGTACACCTATTGTCCAAAAATAGTGTCAGAGCAGTCTTATTGCGCGAGATAAGCCAGGAATAAACACAGTAAACAGTGGTCTATATTAAATGGTTTATCTTACACTACCTACAATATCATATACCAGGAACAGTATACATACACGTGCTCATACAGCAGGATCCAACAAACCACAGTTACAGCAGGAAACGGAAGAGAGAGAACACATCAGCAGAGCCTTCCCTTTATACAATGGCTCTTAAAGAGACTAAGACCCTGCTGGCTCTTAAAGAGATACAGACCCTGCTGAGTCATTCCCATTATTTCATCTTATATCTTACATTATATAAGCTGGTTAGCTGTTAAATCAATATCTTGACAAATAGACGCTTCTTGCTACAAGCCAGAACATTGCAAATCATGGTTACAAGATGACGCGACCTTGCAAACAGCTTTAAATTGCCAAACACCCAAATGTGTGTGACCGCAAGGCTGGGAGAGGCGGGCGGCTGTCAAAACTTCGCATTGAGGTTGTAAGTACTCTTTTGGGGAGGGGGGGACATCATAACTTCAAACGGTCACTAAGTCAACAGTCATATCTGGAGGGCTCCCTGTAGAGTCCTTGAATTGTGACCACACTTGAATGGAAACTAACCAAAGAGAGAGGCAACCTAGAACTAAAGAAGAAACTTCCTAACAGTGAGGACAATTAGCCAGTGGAACAGCTTGCCACCAGAAGTTGTGAATGCTCCAACACAGGAAGGTTTTGAAGAAGAGACTGGACAGCCATTTGTCTGAAATGGTATGGAGCAGGGGTAGGCAACCTTGGCTCTTTTATGACTCGTGGACTTCAACTCCCAGAATTCCTGAGCCAGCCATGTTGAGGGGAAAGGGAGAGATTTCCAAGCTGAGCCATTGTGGCTCAGGAATTCTGGGAGTTGAAGTCCACGAGTCATAAAAGAGCCAAGGTTGCCTATCCCTGTCCTAACCTGACCTAGCCTTGTCTCCCAGGGATGACCAGGTGAGACTTACCTGTTCTGCACATCAATCATCCTTTTGGCGTAAGCGTACCCGAAGTTGGAGCCGTGCGGAGGGCCGTTGTGTATCTGGAAGGGAAGTTTTGCACGTTAAGAAAGTCCCAGCGACAATTTTTACAATCTGAAAATGGAGAATTCTGTTTCTCCTCTGGAGGTCACCAACGGGCCGGGCGGAGAGACCTCTAGGGACCAGGAGGAACACCAAAGATGGCGGAGAAGAGCTCAACGTGGACCGACTCCAGATTTAGGGTTAGAAAGAACACTGAGAAGTAAATTAAGTGTAATTTAGGACTGTGTTTCTCGATCTCAGCAACATTAAGATGGGTGGACCAACTCCCAGAATTCCCCAGCCCAGGGGAGTTGACTCGTGGACTTCAACTTATGACTCGTGGACTTCAACTTATGACTCGTGGACTTCAACTCCCAGAATTCCTGAGGCAGCCATGCTGAGGGGAAAGGGAGAGGTTTCCAAGCTGAGCCATGCTGGCTCAGGAATTTTGGGAGTTGAAGTCCACGAGTCATGAAGGGGCCCCAGTTCCCCCATGCTGGCTCAGGAATTCTGGGAGTTGAAGTCCACAGGTCTTAAAGTTGCCAAGGTTGGGGGCCCCTGTTTTATACGATCACGTTTTTCAGTGCTGTGGTAAATTTAGCCCAGCGGTAGGCAACCTTGGCTCTTTTATGACTCGTGGACTTCAACTCCCAGAATTCCTGAGCCAGCCATGCTGAGGGGAAAGGGAGAGGTTTCCAAGCTGAGCCATGCTGGCTCAGGAATTCTGGGAGTTGAAGTCCACGAGTCATAAAAGAGCCGAGGTTGCCTACCCCTGTCCTAAGTCCTCTTGTTCTAAGCAGTGAGCCTCCTAGACCAGGGGTAGGCAACCTGGGTTATGACTGGTGGACTTCAACTCCCAGAATTCCTGAGCCAGCCATGCTGAGGGGAAAGGGAGAGGTTTCCAAGCTGAGCCATGCTGGCTCAGGAATTCTGGGAGTTGAAGTCCACGAGTCATAAAAGAGCCAAGGTTGCCCACCCCTGCCCCAGCCAGTTGTGATGTGCGGGAGGGTGGGAGGGAAGTAGGGAGGAGGAGGAGGAGGAGGAGGAAAAGAAGGAGGAGGAAGAGAAGGAGGAGGAGTGAATGACAACTGTGAAGTCCTTGTTGCTGTCTGAGCTGGGTTTTCTTGCAGACATTTCATGACCCAATTAGGTAGCCTCATCAGTACTACTGTAGAAGGGAGTGGGGTTTGTGGAAGGGAGGAGGAGGAGGAGGATGAAGAGGAGGAGGAGGAGGAGTGGTGAATAACAATTGTGAAGTCCTTGTTACTGTCTGAGCTGGGTTGTTTTCTTGCAGTCATTTCACGACCCAACTAGCTAACCTCATCAGGACTAGCTGCAAAGATTATAAATGACTTGCAAAGGCATTTCCAGGATCTAGGATGGGCCCAGCTCTCCCTGGAACACAAATTACTTTGGAAAAGTTTTTTAATGTGCTCCAGTCAGTCAAAACTTTGTTATGATTATAAACCAGCGTATCCGGGCTGCAAAACAAACAATTCTATAGGAATAAAATACAGGTTAGTCCTCAAGTTACAATTGTTTGTTTAGTGACTGTTCAAAGTTACGATGGCACTGAAAAAAGCAAGTTACAACCATTTTTCACACTTAGGACCGTTGCAGTGTCCCCAGGGTCACATGATCAAGATTCGGATGCTTGGCAACTGACTCGTCTTATGACGGTCTCAATGTCCTGGGATTGCGTGATCCCCTTTTGCGACCTTCGGACAAGCAAATTCCATGGGGAAGCCAGATTCGCTTAACAACGGTGTTACTGGCTGAACAACTGCAGTGGTTCACTTAACAACGATGGCACGGAAGGTCGTAAAATGGGGCGAAACTCATTTAACAAATGTCTCACTGAAGGACATAAATCTTGGGTACGACTGCGGTCGTTACGTTGAGGATTACCTGCATGCCTTGGAATCTGGGTGGTAAAAAAAGCTACGTCAATACAGGAAGTCCTCAATTTACAACCATCCCTTTACGGACCGACGTTACCGTGGCACTAAAAAACAAGTGACTTATGACCTTCTTCGCACTTATGACCACTGCAGCATCCCTGGGGTCACGTCATCCCCCACTTCGCAAAATCAGTGGGGAAGCTGGATTCATTTAACAACCGAACTACTAACTTAAAAACTGCAGTTTTCCGCTTAACAACTGGAAAGGAGAAAGGAGCTAAAATGGGGGGCAAGGCTCATTTAAGAACTGTCTCGCTTAGCGGCGGAAATGTTGGGCTCCATGGCGGTCGTACGTCGGGGACCCCCCTGTTAAGTGAAGAAAGGATTTGGGTCGCACAGCCCCTTACCATGGTTTCGTCAATAGGGTAGGTGGTCTGGTCTGGAAATATGCAGGTGGACAGACAGGAAACGACTTTCTGGACCCCGGATTCGAATGCTGCTTGCAAGACATTGTCGTTGATGTGGATATTCTTCCTCTGGGGGGGACACAGAAAGGGAGAGGCCCACAATCAGATGCTGTAAAACAGGAGTCTTCCAACTGGGCCCTTTTATGACTTGTGGATTTCAACTCCCCTTTTTTTTTTTTAATCTTTCCTAAAGACACCCTTGATATATATAATTGATTTAAGTTCGAGTCCACCAATTTGGGTGGAGGGAAGAGGACAAAGAAGAGACAAGCAGGAGGATTTTAAAAAATGAGGGATTTTTCATCCACGTGGAGGGGGGCAGTTTGTGGAGGAATATAAACCCAAGCAAGAAAGAGGGAAATATTTCATCTACTACCCCATACAACCTTTAGGTCGGACAAATTCATCACCCTTCCATCCCAGCTCCAAGCTTTTGGAAGATGGCTTTTTGCCAGAATAATTTTATAATTTATTTTTAAATGTAGCCACAATTTTGGAAGGAAAGAAGGAAGGAAGGAAGGAAGGAAGGAAGGAAGGAAGGAAGGAAGGAAGGAGAGGGAGGAATATAAAAGAAAGGGAAAAAAAGAAAGAGAAGAAGTGAGGGAGGGAGGGATGGGAGGAAGGAATATAAAAGGAAATAGACCAAAGGAAGGAAGGAAGGAAGGGACAGAGAGAAAGGAAGGAAAGGAAGACGGAAGGAGGGAAGGGAATGAAGGAAGATAAAAAGAAAAAGAAAGGAAAGAAAGTAGAGAGAGGGAAGGAAGGAGGGGGAAGGAGGGAGGAATATAAAAAGAAATAAAAAAGAAAGAGAAGGAAGTGAGAGAAGGCGGAAGAGAACGGGAGGAAGAAATAGAAAAAGAAAGGGAGAGAGGGAGGGAGGGAAGGGAGGAATATAAAAAGAAAAATAGAAAAAAGAAAGGGACATAGAAAAAGAGAAAGAAAAAGAAAGAGAAAGAAAGAAAGAAAAAGAAAGAGAAAGAAAGAAAGAAAAATGGAGGGAGGGAAAGAAGGAAGATAAAAAAAAGAAAACAAGGAAGAGAAGGAGGGAAGGAAGAAAGGGAAGGGAGGGAGGAATATAAAAAGGGAAAAAAGAAGGGAGGGAGGGAAGGGAGGAAGGAATATAAAAAGAAAGAAATAGAAAAAAGGAAGGAAGGAAGGAAGGAAGGAAAGAAAGGAGAAATCAACTTCCCATAATTTTCCTTCGCTTTAGACAGGTAGTATAAAGGTTGGGGGAGCCCTTCAAATTAACGAGGCCTGTTCTGTCAGTGTACCGAATGAAAGGAAGCTATTTTGTTCTGGATATAGGCCCAAACCATGGTTGCTCTGAACAAAGATGGCTTGCGAGCACGGAGCGTTACACGAACCAAGCCGAGGGCCTTCCTCGAACAGACCGGCTGGCTCCTGGCGCCAGACCCAGCAGCCCTGCCCGCTTACCTTGAAAAAAAAACCAACCACCACAAAACACTCTGCGTTTTGTTTTGCCCCAAACCTGGAACAAGCAAACATTCGTGGTTTCCTTTCGGTCCAAACCCAGCGGTTTGGCCAAACCCAGCGGACACTTGTAGCTCGTTTGGGGTTTCAGAACAAAGCGCTTCCCTCTTTTAAGGCTGACCGGTCAGGTCCACAAGACCCTCACCCAGAATTCCAGGTTGTGGCTGAGGTTCCTGAAGAGACCCCCGACGATGGCCGCCAGGTGGATGACGTGGGTGGGCCGGTGTTTCTCAAAGAGGGCGGTGGTCTCCACAGCATTCCTGGAGGGGAGGAGAAGAGAAAGATGATCAGGGGACTGGAGGCTAAAGCATATAAGGAACGGTTGCTGGAATTGGGTATGTCTAGTTTAATGAAGAGAAGGACGAGGGGGGACATGATAGCAGTCTTCCAGTATCTCAGGGGCTGCCCCAAAGGAGAGGGAGTCAAGCTGTTCTCCAAAGTCACCTGAAGGCAGGACAAGAAGCAATGGATGGAAACTCATCAAGGAGAGAAGCAACCTAGAACTAAGGAGAAATTCCCTGACAGTGAGAACAATTAACCAGTGGAACAACCTGCCTCCAGAAGCTCTGAATGCTCCAACACTGGAAGTTTTTAGGAAGAGATTTGACAAGTAATTTGTATAAAATGGACTAGGGTCTCCTGCTTAAGCAGGGGATGGACTAGAAGACCTCAGAGGTCCCTTCCAACTCTGTCATTCTGTATTCTGCAAAAGTTCAGAAGAGAAGGACGAGGGGTGACATGATAGCAGTGTTCCAGTATCTCAGGGGCTGCCACAAAGAAGAGGGAGTCAAGCTACTCTGCAAAGCACCTGAAGGCAGGACAAGAAGCAACGGATGGAAACTCATCAAGGAGAGAAGCAACTTAGAACTAAAGAGAAACTTCCTGACAGTGAGGACAATTATCCAGTGGAACTACCTGCCTCCAGAAGCAGTGAATGCTCCAACACTGGAAGTTTTTAAGAAGAGACTGGACAGCCATTTGTCTGAAATGGTATAGGGCTTCCTGCCCGAGCAGGGGGTTAGATTAGATGACCTCCAAGGTCCCTCCCAACTTTATTATTGTTGTTGTTGTTGTTGTTGTTATTGTTGCTGTTGTTGTTGTTGTTGTTGTTGTTGTTGTTGTTATTATTATTATTATTATTATTATTATTATTATTATTATTATTATTATTATTATTAAGAGGTGGGTGGATAGCAGGGGACACCTTTCCCTGGACGTGCCCCATGGATTCCAGGCGGGGGCTGGATATCCAGGTAGTCCTCGGCTTATAACCGTTCCTTTAGTAACCGTTGAAAGACACAACGGCAGTGAAAAAAAGTGACTTACAGCCATTTCTCACGCTTATGACCGTTGTGGTCACATGATCACAATTCGGACACTTAGCAACTGACTCATTGTTATGACGGTTGCCGTGTCCCCGTGGTCACGCGATCAAAATTGAGATACTCAGCAACTGGCTCGTATTTACGACAGTCACAGCGTCCCGGGGGGGGGTCACGCGATCCTCATTTTGTGACATTCTGACGAGCTAAGTCAGCGGGGGAAGCCCGATTCACTTAACAATCGTGTGAGTAATTTAACAACTGCAAGCAAGGTTGTAAACTGGAGCAAAACTCACTCAACACATGTCTCACATAGCACTTAACACATGTCTCACATAGGAAATTTTGGGACTCCATTGTGGTCGTAAGCCGAGGACTATCGGCAGCTAACTCCACCTCACAGACCCCTTTCAGCTCCCAGGTCTTGAGAGAGAAAACCAAAGCAATGTTCATAGGACTCAATGGGTGCCCGCCTACCTTGCTGGAGCAGGTGGTTGGACTAGAAGACCTCTTGAGGTCCCTTCCAACTCTGTTATTCTGTTATTCCGGTTGCTTCTGCCCTGACTTTTCCTTGGTGGGCTCTGCAGAAGCTCAGGAAGGAGATATTTTTAGCTGATGCGGAGAAAGACTCAGAAACAGAAGAACAGGTAGTCCTTAATGGAGCCCAATGAGGGGTGGACTTCAACTCCCAGAATACCCCATCCACCATGCTTTAAGATGGGTGGCTTCAACGTCTCGAATTCCTCATCCGAAGTGCTTTGAGATGGGTGGACTTCAACTCCCAGAATTCCCCAGCCACCATGCTTTGAGATGGGTGGACTTCAACTCCCAGAATTCTGGGAATTGAAGTCCACCCACCTTAAAGTGGCCAAGGTTGGACAACATTGGTCTAGCTCAGGGGTAGGCAACCTCGGCTCTTTTATGACTCATGGACTTCAACTCCCAGAATTCCTGAGCCAGCATAGCTGGCTCAGGAATTCTGGGAGTTGAAGTCCATGAGTCATAAAAGAGCCGAGGTTGCCTACCCCTGGTCTAGCTAGCTTCAGGAATCCACCTTAGACCTCACCCAAAGGTCTTCTCCAGATGTCTATGGAGATTCACCATCATCCAGGTCCTGGTTGTCCCAAAGGTGCTTTTCCAGGAGGCTACTGGACTTGCTTTGTTTTTCTTTGAAGACCTTTCGCTTCTCCTCCAAGAAGCTTCTTCGGCTCTGACTGGAACGGTGGGGAATGGAAGGATTTATACTCCTTGCAGACTGCTGATCATTTGCCTCCTTTTAGAGGGTCGTTGAGGCCACTTGGAGGTTTGTCTGTGTCCTCAGAGTCACCTGAGTGGTGCAAATGGGTGTGGAGCCTTCGTGGAACTGCTGAAAGGACTGTGTTGTGTAAACATAGATAAACCTCCAGGTGGTCTCAACGACGACTCTCTAAAAGGAGGCAAATGACCGGCTGTCTGCAAGGAGTATAAATCCTTCCACTCCCCACCATCCAGTCAGAGCCAAAGAAGCTTCTTGGATGGGAAGCGAAACGTCTTCAAATAAAAACAAGAAAGGAAGGAAGGAAGGAAGAAAAAGAAAGAGGAAAGAAAGAAAGAAAGAAAGAGTCTGGAAGGAGTATAAATCCTTCCATTCCTCACCATCCAGAGCTGAAGAAGCTTCTGGGATGAGAAGCAAAATGTCTTCAAATAAAAACAAGAAAGGAAGGAAGGAAGGAAGAAAAAAGAGAAAGACAGAGAAAGAAAGAAAGAAAGAAAGAAAAAGGAAGGAAGGAAGGAAGAGAAAGAAAGAGGAAAGAAAGAAAGAATGAAAAAAAAAGTCTGCAAGGAGTATAAATCCTTCCATTCCCCCACCATTCACTCAGAGCCGAAGAAGCTTCTTGGAGGAGAAGCGAAACGTCTCCAAAGAAAAACAAAGAAAGTTCAATTGCCTCCTGGAAAAAAGCACCTCTGGATCTTCTCCAGATGTTCCCGGGTCCTGCATCTGCTACAAAGCAGAACTTCCTTAAGTCCAGCAGAAGAAGACCTGACCCACTCACGTTAAATCAGCGTCTTTAGAGGACACAAAAATCCAGGTCTCGTCCACCCGGCGTTCCCCGTCTGCAATCACCTTCTGAATGGCTTTTCCCACCAGGCCGGAGCCCCCGGTCACCAGGATCCGTTTCTGCCTTCCCGACTCGGCCATCAATACGAGTTCTGCAGGAGGGGAGATATATATTTTCCAAAGCGCCTGAAGGCAGGACAAGAAGCAACGGATGGAAACTAATCAAGGAGAGAAGCAGCCTGGAACTAAGGAGAAACTTCCTGACAGTTAGAACAATTAACCAGTGGAACAACCTGCCTCCAGAAGCGGTGAGTGCTCCAACACTGGACGTTTTTAAGAAGAGACTGGACAGCCATTTGTCCGAAATGGTATAGGGTTTCCTGCCTGAACAGGGGGTTGGACTAGATGACCTCCAAGGTCCCTTTCAACTTTATTATTATTATTATTATTATTATTATTATTATTATTATTATTATTATTATTATTATTATTATTATGCAAGACAAGAAGCAACGGATGGAAACTGATCAAGGAGAGAAGCAGCCTAGAACTAAGGAGAAACTTCCTGATGGTTAGAACAATTCACCAGTGGAACAACCTGCCTCCAGAAGTTGTGAGTGCTCCAACACTGGAAGAGACTGGACAGCCACTAGTCTAAAATGTATCTCCTGCCTGAGCAGGGGGTTGGACTAGATGACCTCCAAGGTCCCATCCAAGTCTGATATTCTGTTATTCTTTTTCTTTCCTTCCTTCCTTCCTCCCTCCCTCCTTCCTTCCTTCCCTCCCTCCCTCCTTTCTCCAACACTGGAAGTTTTTAAGAAGAGACCGGACAGCCATTTGTCCAAAATGGTATAAGGTTTCCTGCCTGAGCAGGGGGTTGGACTAGATGACCTCCAAGGTCCCTTCCAACTGTATTATTATTATTATTATTATTATTATTATTATTATTATTATTATTATTATTATTATTATTATTATTATTATTATTATTATTATTATTATATAAAAAGAGGATTAAGTTTTTTGGGGGGGCTCTTTGGCCCTTGATCGATGCTTTCTCCATCAGGCGTTCCAGAGAGGATTAAATCAGGCCAAGATTAATCATCATCATTAAAGCCACGGCAGAAAAGGCAGGTTGGTCTTCAGCAAATGTTGGCTAAGAAGGAACCAGAATGGAGGTTTTTTTTCCCTAACCTCTTTGCTTCTGATTGGGGGGGGGGTATCAGCCCCTCCTAGTCTGTTCAATTATCCTAACCAGGAGATCAAATTGGGGCACTGGGGCAATTCCCTTCTCCCACCCTCAAGGAACCACGGTTTATAGAACACACCCAAAGCACCGAGTCACAAACCAGCCTAAGCCCCGATTGTTGGGTTGGGGGGGAATCGAACCCACAATTTTGCTCCTGGCAGTGGGAAGGAACCCCTCCCTGCCCCCAAATAGCCCCTTCCCCCTTGCTTATTTTATTGCATTTGAATCCCTTCTGACCCAGGGACCAGCAGGAGGCTCTCCCTGTCTCCCCTTTGCTCCTCCACAACGACCCTGTAAGGTAGACCGAACAAAGGAGCAGACACACATACATACACACAAGGCTGCCCCAAAGGCATAAAACGAGACAGTCGGGATTTGGGGAGGGGGGGCAGGAGGAGGGGGGGTCCGAAGCAGCTCTCCCCACTTTTCCCAACAGCCCAACCTTTCCGAGAGCCTTCCAGACGACCCCCTTTGCCTAACACGCAAGTTCTCAGCGCCGCGGAATACCTTCGCTTTCCGCGCAGCAATATCCTCGGTCACTTCCTGGTCCACGTGGACTTCAGCTCCCGGCATGCCTCGGCCCGCGCGGCCGTAGCTGAGGCTTCTGGGAGTTGAAGTCCACAAGCCCGGGGAAATTGCCCGGGTCGCTCCTGCACCCAAGGGGACCCGACTTGCAGGCTCTTTTCGTGCACGGACCCGCAGGGGGGGACTTTGGGGGTGGGGGTCCCGAGCGATTTGCAAAGGGGACCCTGGCTGGGGAGGGTGGTTGAGTGGGTGGGTGAGCGATGCAGACACACCCCCCCGGTAGAATGGGGAGCGGGAGCCCGGTGGAAGAGACCCTGCAGCCGGCATCCCGGACTTTGGGGGGGGGGTGTCGCTTCTGGGGGTCCGCAAAGCATCTTAAGGCGCCTCTCCAAGCCTCCCACCCGGTTAGTCCTCGGCTTACGACGCTTCGTTTAGTGACCATTCAAAATTACAACGGCACTTAGGACCGTTGCAGCATCCCTAGGGTCACTAGATCAAAATTAGGAGGCTTGGCAACTGACTCGTATGTATGACCTTTGGAGTGCCCGTGGGGAGGGGGGGATGTCATGTGATCCCTTTCTGACAAGCAAAACCCATGGGGAAGCCCGATTCACTCAACAACGGTGTACTGTTAATAATGTAACATCTGAAGCGACTCGCTTACCGACTGTGGTCGCTTGATCCAAATTCGGATGCTTGGCAACTGACTCGGAGGTACGACGGTCGCCGTGTCCCCGGGGTCATGCGATTCCCTTTTGCCACCTTCTGACAAGCAGAGACAATGGGGGGGGGGAGCCAGGTTCATTTAACGACCGTGTCACTAACTTAACCACTGCAGGGATTCACATAACAACGCTGGCGAGAAAGGTCGTAAAATGGTGGCCAAATTCACTTAACAACTGTCTCAGCCATAGAAATTTGGGACCCGATTGTGGTCGTAAGCGGAGGATCACCTGCCTTCGAAATACGAGTAGAGGACATGAGTCAGCAAGCGAGGCGGCTGCAGGGAAAGCCGACGGGATTTTTGGCTGCGTGGCAGAAATACAATTTCCAGATCGGAGAAAGATGACTTTGGATTCTTCTCAGATCGGATTTCATCTTCTGCCCAGTTCTGAGCATCGACCTTGAAGAATTATTGGAAGGGACTGATACAGCTTTAAGTAGTAACAACAACAACAACAATAATAATAAAGTTGGAAGGGACCGTGGAGATCATCTAGTCCAACTCCTCCTCAGGCAGGAAACCCTAGACCATTTCGGACAAATGGCTGTCCAGTCTCTTCTTAAAAACTTTCAGTGTTGGGGCATTCACAGCTTCTGGAGGCAGGTTGTTCCACTGGTTAATTATTCTCACTGTCAGGAAGTTTCTCCTTAGTTCTAGGTTGCTTCTCTCCTTGATGAGTTTCCACCCGGTGCTTCTCGTCCTGCCTTCAGGCGCTTTCGAGGATAGCTTGACTCCCTCTTCTTTGGGGCAGCCCCTGAGATACTGGAAGGCTGCTATCATGTCTCCCCTTGTCTTTCTCTTCATTAAAACAAATCTGCTAGCCTTTTTTCCAATCCACAAATCTGATTCAAAACTTCCGCTTTTTCTGAATTGCTGGCTGGGAAATTCTGGAAGTTGAAGTCCATGTGTATTAAAAAGTTCCAATCATGGTTGGGAACTGACCAAAGAGAGAAGCAACCTGGAATTAAGGAGAAACTTCCTGACAGGACAATCAACCAGCGGAACAGCTTGCCACCAATAATCGTGGGCGCTCCATCACTGGAGGTTTTTAGGAAGAGACTAGACATTCACCTGTCTGGGATGGTCTAGGTTCTCCTGCTCGAGCGGGGGGCTGGACTAGAAAACCTCCAAGGTCCCTTCCAGTTTCTATTCTATTCTATTCTATTCTATTCTATTCTATTCTATTCTATTCTATTCTATTCTATTCTATTCTTATTCTTATTCTTATTCTTATTCTTATTCTTATTCTAATTGTTATTTCTATTCTATTCTATTCTATTCTATTCTATTCTATTCTATTCTATTCTATTCTATTCTATTCTATTCTATTCTATTAAGTTGCCAGGGTGGAAAAATAATGGTGTGGGACAGAGATATCACCAACCTTGGCCCCTTTAAGACCTGTGGACTTCAACACCCAGAATGCTCTAGCTAGCTGGCTGGAGAATTCTGGTAGTTGAAGTCCCTAGGTCTTAAAGGAGCCAAGCTTGGCTACACCCCTGTTGAAATGATTTAGTTCAGCCATTTTAACCTAGAGATCAGGGAATTAATTAAAGCCCAGTCTTTTCACCTTTGTTGGTATTTTAATAAACTCTGCTTTTTCATTGTGTGGTTTTTATTGACTTATTAGTGTTTATTGGTGAAGCACACTGCTTTCAATTACTGTTGAGCAGTTAGATCAATCTCTTGGTCAATAAACCAATCACTCTTTGGAACAAATATTTGTATTCTCCCAAGCATCGTCCGGTTTAAAAGGAGGAGAGGAAAGATAAAGGAGAGATTAACCATTCAGCAGGGCTAATTTTGATTACGATTTTTACCTTATGCAATGCTTTTGTGTATCTTTCCATGCTGGGGGGGTTATTTTTCTAGCACACGGTGAGCAAATTTAGGCTGAAATAAAAGTTACCGATTGTATAGGCCTTTCTCAAGTTGTTAGCACAGTTGCAATTATGAGTTTAATCAAGCTGCTGCGTTGCGTGCCGTCAGTTCCTAGAGATAACGGGGGGAAACACTCTGCACGTGCTCTTGGGTGCCTTCCTTTCTGTTTCTCATCCCCCGCCTTCCCCTGAAGTAGGAAGGGGGAAATTGGGCTTGGGAGGTCCATCCTAACACATTTGCCCCTTGCTTGTGTGGGAAGTCAGTCCCACCCCACCCCAGAGAAAGAAATATTTTTGGAAATATTTAAAAGGCAGAATATATTTCCCTAAAGGATTTTAAAAGCAGAAACCAACCCTGCCCACACACAAGTCTCTCTGTCCCAAACAGAAACCCAAGTCTGCAAAATTGCAGATGTGATAATTTTGTCAGAAAGACTGGAGTCAGGAAACTGGGATTAGGAAGACAGATCCCTAGAATCAACACACCAAAAATCTTAGAGTCATCAGCCACAGCCCCAGGGAAGCAGGATATGACCCTTGGGACATAATAGGATTAACTCACCACCATCAGAATACCACAAAGGCACACTCAGACTCAGGTCAAAGTTCATGCCACAGGAACAACTCCAAACAAAATGCTCCAGAAGATATAAAAACCCACTCCCTACATGTGCTCTCTCTCTCTCTCTCTCTCTCTCTTTTCTTCCAGAGCCATCTTCCTGTCTGGCTCTCCTCTTCAATAAACTGCAACCTTCTTTCTAAAGCAGTCGCCATGTTATTTATTCCCGGCTTGGACTGAACCATGATGAAGACTTCCTTCAACAATTGTTTGAACTCAATTTCTCACTATTTTGCACTTCCTGGATCCGGGGTCTCCAGTGTGGGCCACTTTTAAGCATGGCTGGCTGGGGAATTCTGGGAGCTGAAGTCCACAGGTCTTAAAAGTTGTCAAACTCGGAGACCCCTGTGTTAAATCAAACTTTTCCTCAGGGTACGATTTAATGGGCGGCCCAATTCTGCACGCCAGCTAGGTCCGTTGAGAGGGCAAACGGTGCCCAATGTTGGATGTAACAAAAAAAAATCTTGGGAAATAAAAATGAATTTTATCTTTGGGCAGCCCCTCCTGATCCTAAAGCTGGTGGCAAGCCAGACAGCCTTTCGCACCGAATTCCTGGCTCTGCAAAATGATGGCAAAATATTTTGCAAGTATGCAAAACACAAAACACATGATAATTCCACAAATTGTGTGTGGGTGATGAAGTATTCCTAGCGCGCTGGAGAGCCGTGTTTGCAAACAGCCTTTTGATTCGGAGTTTGGGACGGCGGGACGCAGCGAATCTGGAAGCAAAACTCTCGAATTCTCTTGCTTTGGATTCAAGACGGGGCTTTTCAACCTCGGCAAGGTTGAAGAGATATGGACTTCAACTCCCAGAATTCCCTAGCCAAGGAGGGAATTCGTACTGGCTGGGGAATTCTGGCAATTGAAGTCCAACACATCTTCATGGGAAACTAAGAGATGGTAAATTCTAGTCCTGCCTTAGCCATGAAAGCTGAGTGGGCAACCTAGAACTAAGGAGAAACTTCCTGACAGAACAATTAACCAGTGGAACAACCTGCCTCCAGAAGCGGTGAATGCTCCAACACTGGAAGTTTTTAAGAAGAGACTGGACAGCCATTTGTCCGAAATGGTATAGGGTCTCCTGCCTGAGCAGGGGGTTGGACTAGATGACCTCCAAGGTCCCTTCCAACTTTATTATTATTATTATTATTATTATTATTATTATTATTATTATTATTATTATTATTATTATTATTATTACTTTGAGCCAATCACCAGGCGACTATTCCCACCTTAGACACGAAGGCTGGCTAGGAGACTTTGGGCCAATCAGCAGGAGATGGTGAGTTCTAGTCCCGCCTTATGTATGAAAGCCAGCTGGGTGATTTGGGGCCAATCAACAGGAGATGGTGAGTTCTAGTCTTGCCTTAGGCATGAATGCTGGCTGGGTGACTTTGGGCCAATCACCAGGAGATGGTGAGTTCTAGTCCTGCCTTAGCTACGAAAATCAGCTGGTAATTTTGGACCAATCACCAGGAGACGATGAGTTCTAGTCCCGCCTTAGGCATGAAAGCTGGCTGGGTGACTTTGGGCCAATCACCAGGAGACGGAGAGTTGTAGTTGCCTTACTCATGAAAGCCAGCTGAGTGACATTGGGCCAATCACCAAGGAGACGGAGAGTTCTAGTTTTGTCTTGGACGTGAAAACCATCTGAGCTGTAGGCACAGAAACCGGCTGAGTGACTTTGGGCCAGTCCCTCTCTCCCAGCCCAGTCCACCTCACAAGGATGTTGTTAAGAGGAAAAAAAGAGGAG